AGGTTTTTAATTAATTAACGAAATAAATTAGTTAAAATTAGTTAAACGTAGGTTTAATTTAAACGTAGTGTTAATTAAGTTGTATTTAGTTAAAATTAGGTAAATTAGTTAAATTTTTGATAATATTAGTTAAATTTAAGTATTAGTTAATTCAAATGGTTATATATATATATATATATATATATATATATATATATATATATATATGCTCAAATTTTTAGATTTGTTTATTAGCAATTATTGTTAATGCCTAATTTAGGATTTGTAATGGTTTAAGTTAGGATTGAAACATTACTTTAGTGTGAATTATTATTGTGAATTATGTGAATTTCATTTAATTTAGTGAATTGTTTATTGTGTATTATTAATTAGATTTTGATAATTTTAGTATTGTGAATTAATGCCATTAACATATTGTTTGTAGTTTAATAATATTAATTGGACGTTAGTTAATTTTAGCGAATTTTAGTTCAATTTAATATATAAATGTTCCTAAACATTTATATTTAATATATAAATGTTCCTAAACCTAACAAATTATTGTTAATGTTTATGAATTCATGTCATTAACGTAATAATTTAGTGTATTTAGTGTTAAAATCCTAATATTGGTTATTAGTTAATAATTTAAATGATTAATGTCATTAACGTATTAGTTCTAGCTAGTTAATTAATAATATTAATTGAACGTTATTTAATTGTAGTGAACTTTATTGAAATTGAATATATTAATGCTCCTACATACTACGTATGAATTAGTGAAAATATTTAACATAACAAATTGTTGGTAATGTTTATAATTTAAAGTTTTTAACCAATATATATTTTTATTATAATATTCAGGCATAATGTATAGGCAAAATAGAAGTTGGATGTATGATAACATACAGTATTGTACGGAATGAAAACAAATTTTCTTGATGGAATTGGGGAGTTTGTGAAATTTGCACTTGAACACCCGGATTATATATATGGATGGTGATAACCCGGATTATATATATGGATGGTGATAAAATCATGTGTCCATGTTCAAAGTGTAAAAATCTCAAATTTAAAGACCAAGACGCGGTTGTGTGGGATTTGTACGAATCAGGTTTCGTTCCCAATTATTATAATTGGACTTGTCATGGCAAACCTTTGGATCCATCTCTTTTACCACAAACAGTAGGTTCGTCTCGTAATGTCCCTAACGAGATGAGTGGGTGGAGAGACTATGCTCAAATGACGTGGGAGCAAAGAATGATATATGATGCATACGGTGTATCGATGTCTCAGTTCAACCCCCCACAACCATTTAACGATCCTCCTGAAGCCTCGACCTCGTATCAACCAGATGCGGATGAAAATCTGATATTTTATCAACCTGATGTGGATGAAGGTTTAGCTGAGAGATTTCAAGATGTTTTAAAAGATGCCGATCAACCTCTGTATGCTGATTGTGAGGGATACTCTCAGGCTCTAAGCTATCCTTCGTTTCAGAGTTTATGAACATAAAAGCTAAATACAGTCTCCCTGAAACTTGCATGTCTAGAGTGTGCAGTCAGTAGGAGGAATGCTACCGCGTGATCATAACCTCCGTGATTCATATTACCACATGAACCAATTAATATCTAAGTTGGGGCTTCCTTGTATAGAAATTGATGCGTGCCCACAAGGATGTATGTTGTTCTGGAAGGATGATGAGGCACTTGAAATCTGCAAGTTCTGTGGTGGAGACAGATACAAACATGTTCCTCAAAGACGAAATAAACCGCGATATAGGTCTGCATTATCTAAACTATTTTATCTCCCAATTGCTCCACGACTGAAGATGATGTATGCTTTGATTGCTACTGCGAAACACATGACATGTCATGTTGAGCACAAAACCAGAGAGGGTATGATGTCTCACCCTTCGGACTATGAAGCCTGGAGACACTTCGACCGTTGTCATCCTCAGTTTGCAACGGAGCCACGAAATGTGCGACTGGGATTGTGTTCAAATGGATTTGCTCCTTTTGGAAGGTTTGAGAAGAACCATTCACGTTGTCACGGATACCGGTCCGTGACTAAATTTAGTCACACCCGTTTAGTCACGGATTTTGTCCGTGACAAAATCCGTGACTAATCCGTTTAATCACGGATTTTTAACACTACGGTCCGTAACTACAGCCCTGTTTTTTTGTAGTGTATGTCACGTACAATGACCACAACTACAAATTAGATGACTTTTCAGCTAACTTCTGGTGATTTTTTGGAAGATAGAGTTCAGAGAGTCACACAATAACCCACAATCTTTCACTATTACACTTGAATTTTAATAAATGGAAATGTTGAGAGGATATGTTCTTGGTAAAAACATGACACCCATTGAGAAAAGGCTCCGCCAGTGAAAACATTCATCAACAACGGTACGAGATATTGCGATAACAATATTTGTGAAATTGAGGCTCTAAAAAGCTACATTTTTGCCGGGTAAAAGAAGATAAAATGACACCCATTGAGAAAAATTGGGTGGACGAAAACATGGAACATATATACCATGCGACTAGCTGAAGGAAAAAATCTAAAATCTCAATACCAATACTGGAAAATAGAAAAACTCCGTAATAATTGTAGTTACCACTTATTACTAGTCTGATAGCTTTGGCACTTCATTTATAATGAGAGTGAGTAAGTGAGTTTACAATTCTCCACTATTAATTATTGCCATTTTTTGTTTTCATAATATACATTAACACCCAAGAGGTCAAGTAATTAACATTTGTGGATAATGTATATGTGATCACCATTGCACCTAAATGCAAACTATCATTTCCAAAGTTCTTCGTACTATACAATTCATACATATGTGATGTGTCTAGTTCGTAGCAACGGAATAAAAATGATATGATACGGTATAAAATATCATTGCCGATCCCCCTTTTGCAAATGAAGTGAATATATTGCGGCCATGTTACACAAACACAAGCCATGTTAGCTGAGTTAGAGTTGTATGGAAACATAACGTACTTTGGAATATACCCAATGATTTACAAGATAGACAGAAAACTGGTGAATAATGGATGGGAAAATGTGAGGAAGTTTCTCAAGCTGCATATAGACAAAGAATTGGAGTAAAGGTATCAAATGAAATTATCCTTTTCCTGTAAAAAGGGAGTCAATAAGTTATTGCAATAAAACTCTTGAAGGGTCCATTGTGTCTTGATGAAATATGGCTTTGGCGTCATACCAACACATTGAGGCAGGTTTCTTACTCACTCCCCACAACTCCACATGCTTCTGTTTTTTTATTCCTTTCTCTATATATCTTTATTTTCTAATTACAGTACACACACTCTATCCTACCTAGCTATCCGCTACCATTAGCTTCATATATTTTATTTTATTTTAATAATATTTTAATAAATTTGAAAGAAGTTGTCTTAAATAGAAGTAATTAAATATGTTTGTGAATTCCGAAATATAATTATTATTTTTCCCTAGATAGGAGTAAGTACTCACATATTTTGACATTATCATTTTCAATTAATTTAACATGGTAATATTTTTCAATTTTGATCATAAAAACATAAGTACTCCTAATTTTGATCATAAATTATAAAAACTACTCGTCTAGTAGTATTATTTTGTAACATGGAGAGATATATACTTCTGAATACTTTATTATAGTACAGATTACTGAAATGCTAATTCTAATTAATAACAATTGTTCGAAAATAGGAGTAAGAATAATACTACCTCCGTCCGATTTTAGTTAGTCATGTTTCACTTTTCAAGTCTAAGATGGTAAACATTGGCCAATTATTTGAACTAATATATGTATGCAAAATTTAATAATTCTACACTATTTTATAATAGTATTTTAGAAAAATAAAATTTTCATATTAATTTCATATTATCAATTTCTATATATAAATATATAATCAGTCAAAGTTTTTTTTGGATCATTCAGTCAAAGTTAGATACTACATATCATTGATTTAAAAAGTCAAAATTTGACCAACCAAAAAGAAGCGGAGGGAGCATTATTTTCCCAAATAGGAATACTAAGTGGGTGTTTGGAACCGATTCTGATTCTAGGAGTAAATTAGAGCACCAGAAGTACTTCTGCACTTTCACCCGAACACTTCAACTTCGGCTTCTGCTCACCGAGTGAGTTAAAGCAGTTTTAAAAATCAGATCGAAACACCCCCTAATATTTTGCTCCAATAGAAGTAGTGATTGTAAAAATATTGTCATGTTATATCCTTACTAGTTAGAGACTTAGAGAGAAATTGTATACTCCAATTTGGCAACATCACCTTATTTTTAGTCTCTTCTTATGTGTTATACCAATGTTTAAAGAATTACACTTCCTAGATTTTAAAAAGATATATGATCTTAAATATTATTCCTTTGAGCACCTTCAATGCTAAAACGTGAACGGTGCATACATAGCATGAGTGATGGTCAATCAAAAAACAATAAATACAATATTTCTCTCCTTATTTGAAGGATCTTATATCATTTTGGTAAGTTTTTCTTCACAATGTCAAGCACAATATCTAGGTGTAGACATTGTGTTTGACATTGCAGAGAAAAATTTACCAAAAACACATAAAACCGTGGAAAGAATGAGAGAAAAATGTTTTAAATTCAATTTTTTGTGTCTATCTCTCATGCCACATGTGCACCGTGCACATCGTAGCATTGAAGATGCTCTTAACATTTTTCAAATTTCATTTATTGGTTGTCCCACTAACTTTGTTACTTTTCATTTTAAGTAAAGAATTTATAATTACAATTAATTCTTTTTTCTCTGCACAAATTTACTCCGTATCATTTTAAAGGATGAAGAGAGTAGTAGTCAAATGTCATCGATCTCACACTGAAAACATGAACTTAACTTTGAGAGAGAATATTATACGGATTATACCGAGTATATATGTGTGTATATGTATATATACATGCATATATACATAAATACATCAATATATTCTTTACACGTCATCATAAATCAAATCCATATTATTCCGTATATAATAATGTGTATATATAGCCATCAAACCTCCACTCATTCCCACAACTACTACTACTCAGCTATACATACTCAATACACCTCATCTTCTTCATCATATCATCAAGAACCTCCACTTATTCATCATTTACAATCCATACATTTTATTCTCATTCTCATTAATTCTCATCCTCATTAATTATCATCGATCTACATATCGCAAACTACGTAATTACGTGCTCGAGATCAGAACAGGAAATGGGGATTAGCAGGAAATCGAAGAAGCTGACATCCCAAACCGCAATGATAAAGCAGATTCTGAAGAAGCTGGGGAAGAGAGACGGGTACGATGAAGAAGGGCTTCCCATGGATGTCCCCAAGGGACATTTCGCGGTCTACGTCGGAGAGAACCGGACGAGGTACATTGTGCCCATCTCCTTCTTGGGCCAGCCCGAGTTCCAGATCCTCCTCCAACGGGCCGAGGAAGAGTTCGGGTTTGACCACGACATGGGCTTGACCATTCCCTGCGACGAATACGTCTTCGAAAGTCTTACTTCCGCTCTCATCATTAGGTAGTTAATTAATTAGTTTAATTGATTGATTAATTGATTAATTACCTAAGCTGAGACGGTTAGCCACGTCAGCAGCCAGCTAGCTTAGAAGCGGCACGAGCGGGGATGAAGTATAGACGGTCCAGCTGTACGTACAAGCACTTACAGCACCGTACGCCGTAGAGAGGGCTTTATGGTGATCTAACTTATCGGATCGGGTCGGGTCGGAGATGGATTGGTTGATGGGAGATATGATTATTATGGTCTTTGGTTGATTAATTGTTGCAAATTAAAGCTTAGAATCTCCTTTGCAGTGGTGGTTGGTTGTAACTATAAATGTGCCCTGCGAGGGCCGATTGAGCGGGAGATTAATTAATTAATTAATCGTTGGAATTGTGTATTTTATAAAGTCTAATAAAATTGAATCTTAGTACGTGTTATTTTTTCTGGTAGAGTTTGATGATAAATTCAATGTTGTTGGGTGTTACGGTTGTACCTTTTCGTTTTAATTGATAGTCTTGACTGGTCGATTTCAATCTCATTAATTGAACTTCAATGTCTTGTTCATCTTTTCAAGCGTAAAAAGAATTCAACAAGGACACTTTGATATACGTAGTATAAAGTACTGATTCAGAGATCCTAATGTTAATTGTTCAGTATTGGGATTTTATTCTTAAATAAATGCAACATTCAACATTATAATTGTATATAAATTTATATTAGTAAAAAAAGTTTAAAAAAAATAGATATTGAAAATTTACAATGAGACAAATTTATTTAACAATACTTTTTTCATAAAAATATATTTATCCATTAATAAATAAAACGTTGTCAAAGTAGACGAATAGTGTAAAATTTCATATGTTGCATTTATTTAAGAACGGGGTAGTATATACGTAGTAATTGAAAAAGAAATTTAAATTGAAACTGAAATGAAAATACTTGAATTTATTAATTGAGTAACGATGTTCAAAATAAAGTACTCCCTCCGTTCTTTAATAAAAGTCATTCTTTCTTTTTTGGGACGTTTTTTTATTTGTCCTCCTTTCCATTTAAGGAAAGTTTTTACTTTAAATATACCTTTATACCCCCACTTTTATTACCATTACCCCTTTCTCTTTCCTATTTTTTCATTTACCCACTACTCATTACACCTTTTACACTACCCCTACTATTTTCTTCTTAAAACCCGTGCCAAAACCTAAGAGGACTCATATTAAAGAACGGAGGGAGTACGAGATTTAGCATTTTTTAAAAATATACCTCCGTTCAATTGGAAAGTCATATATTCAAGGTTTCTTTCTCTCTCTGTTTACAAGTCTAGAATATCACTAGCGGGGTTAATTATTGGCCCGACGAGCTATCTTATAGATGGCCCGGTTAGAAAAAATTGGTATGTTTAGTCTTAATTGTGTAAGGAATTTTATGTTTTTCGAGAGGTTGTGATTACTTTTTGTCAAAAATGTCCAACACATATCTAGTTATGCACATTTCACTATATATTATGGAGAAGTAACTATCAAAGTTGTCAAAAGAATGCAAAGGATAACTCCAAATAGGTATGTTGTATTTTTCTTCCCGAAATGGGAGTCAATATGTACTGGTATGATTGAAAAATACTTACATGATTGAAAATCACTACCATCAATGATAGTAAATATTGTCATGTTTAATGCACAGTACTGCAACTATTTGATAGTAATGATTGTAAGATGACAGTAAATACTGTCATTTACTCATATTTTGAGAAATACAAAATCAGTTTACTACCATTCCGGGAACTTTCCCAGTTCCCTAATCTATATCATGCATATGCCATAGAAATGCTCTGAATCAACGAATTCAGTGATAGTCAATGGTATTTGTTTGAAAATGGGAAATCGAAATACTAATAAATGTAGAAGGAAAAATGGTTCTAAAATTTATTACACCGTAATAAATAAATAAATAAAGCAATTAATCTGACACAATTAACCGTATTTGCCGAGGCCTGAGGTGACTAGTGAGAAGTTAACAATTAATTGAAGTGGAATGGAATAGATTGGTAATTTGAGTATAGTACGTAGACGTACGTACAAGAAGGAATTGAAGAGGGGAGGACATGAAATAAAGGAGTGGGCAGGCAGGGCGGGTAAAGGGCGATGGGCGGATAGAGAACATTTGGGACAGGTTCACATGAGTGCCAGCCCACTGCGTGGGACTGCATCGACCATCTCATCACCCTACCTCTTTGCTAGCTCTGCAAGCTCAGGTAAGGTAGGCAGGCAATCACAATGTGCAAAACTGCAAATGCTCATTCAATCCTACCCTGCTCCAGCACCCACCTCTCATTTTTGCAAGTACACCCATGTTTTCTTTACTCCACTGCCATCAAGTATCACCCTTCACTTATAAGGAGGTAATGGTCAATTGACTACATCAAGTTGTATGAGGTAGAGTAAACAGTACACTATATTGCATTTGATCTTTTTAAGTACACAAATTTGGAGTTTTAATGTTAATTGAGTACGTCTGTTAGATTAACACGTTAATACAGTTGAGTTGGCTAACGGAATGCTAATAGGTTGACTTTTTCAAGGTCGACGCCTGTCCCCTGCCACTTGATCGACTTCCCCTTGGTCGACGTCAGTCCCCGCAGGTCGACTTCTCCTTGGTCGATGCACCTCTGCTTGCCGACGCCCCACGCAGGTCAACCTTCGAAGGTTAATTTTCCCTTTTTGGTTGACTTCGTGAATGTCGGCGCCATAACATTGGTCCATTACTCCTTCTTACTCAATACTCCGTATTATGTTAGCCAACAGCTATATTAACGTGTTAATCTAACAAGTGTACTCAATTAACACTAAAATCCCCAATTTGTGTACTTAAAAATATCAAATGCAATACAGTGTACTCTTTACTCTACCTCATACAACTTGATGTACTCAATTGATCATTTTCTCCACTTATTATAAGTAGTAGTAGTAGTAATAAATAACTCAGAGACTCTCGCACAGGTAGCTCAACGGTTTTTGAGTAATTCTCTTGAGCCGAGGTCTCGAGTCAATCCCCAAAACCAGTAGTGTGAAAGTTTTATCGAATGTAGTGAATACTTGTGCGCATCACACCCGGAACAACTTGACCTATAAAATGTTTGAAATCATATCATGAGTGGGCCCTAAGATGGACGATTCCACCTTTTGGGTAGAAATAAGTGGGAGACTCGTTATATTATCCTTTATAGAGAGGTATTAGGAATTTGTGACTTACAGTCTACAAGTACAAAGTCAATGGCATTTTGAGTCTTCATTAATAAAAGATAAATAATCTTGTTGACTTTGTAAATCAATTTAGGATAAAAGGAATATTATACTCTCATTTAAAATTAAATCTTCCCTATTAGAAACTACCATAAATTTCTTCAACGTTACAAACTCCACATTCTAATTAATTGATAAAAATGATACTGATTGACTTTTTAAATTGATTAAAAAGATAAATTTGTAAATTTATTTGCAACGGAGGTATTAATATATTTTTCGTTATATTGTCTAAGGTTGAGGTAGATCCCTAGATATGGTCGATGGTTCCCATCCACTAAACTTGGGGGTGGGGGCGATTGAGGTTTGGTTAATGCGTGGGTTCCGGTTTTCAATTCCTGACCAATCTTTTGAATTCTACTAGGTAATTTTTTGGAAGAAGAAGACTTAGATTGATATCACATCATTGAGATAGGGGTTAAAATAATAAAAGAACCACATGCAAGTGATGTAACAATCAGTCCTTGAATCAGATTAAGAGTTAATTACCTTTGAACAAAAGAACCACATGCAACCACATGCAATATAACTCGTTGATCCTAACTTGGGAATAATTGAGCCAAATACGGTTACCGCAGACCTCTCGTCACTCAATCCTAATGCAAAATTCTTACAACAAGAAATAAAATAAAAATAAATGACAACAGTCTTAACCTGGAAATTAAAGTGCAACACCAAAACAATAAACACCATAACTTGTTCTCTTGAGCAGAAATACTAGTCGCCTCCCCGTTTTTTGGTATGTCCAGGGACATGCTCCCGCCTCCTTCTTCATAGAAAATCAGTTCACTGTCCTCCTGTTCAATAACTATCTGCTTGTAGTAATTCACAATATCCTCCATCAAAGCCTTCGGAGTGTAGACGGAACCACTGCCCTGCGGTCGTTCTTCGGCATTGCCGAAAACGGAAAACAAAAGCTACTCTAGCGGCTAAAAGCCATAGAGAGAGAAAGTAGGGTTGATTGACCGTAAACAGTTTGTTAAGATAATGTTTTGAATTGATAACCAATACAGAGTTTAAATTAGTTTAAAATCACGGATCTTTTAGAGTTAATTCCTCAAATAGGTCAAAAAGGTGATCCAAGAACACAAATAGGACTACATGTTTTTTATTTCTCCTAGCAGGACTATGTATGTGTATTTGGACAAATATAACCTTGAGACTTTTGAAATGTCTTAATTAATAAAAATAATAAAAAATAATAAAAAATAATTAAAAAAACAATAAAAAACGTAAAAAATAATAAAAGAAACGTCAAAAATATTAAAAAAAGTCAAAAATATTAAAAACAATATAAAAATTTATAAAATAAAAAACTATTTTTTCAAAAAATTAAAAAATTAAAAATTTTAAAGAAATGTAAAAAAACGCCGCCGCCTCGGCCACCCCCAGCACCACTAGCTCCCATCACCGGTTGAAAATTTGCCAACATTTTTAGCAATGCCATAATAATGGCAGATTCAATGAGAATGTTGGCATTATGATGAGTAATAATGCCATTTTTTTGGCATTTTTCAGAAAACAATGACAATTTGAGTAATAAAATTGCAGAATTTTCACCGGTCAGAGTTATCCATTTTTATGGGTTTTTACTATTTTTTATTAATTTGTTTAAAAAAAATCTGCCAACAAATTTAGTATTGCCATAATAATGGCAGATTCAATGAGAATTTGACGTTATGAATAGCAATAATGCCATTTTCTTGACATTTTCGGGGGGAAAATGAACTTTTTTATAAAAAGTGGCAGATTTTTTACCGATCGAAGGTGGTGGTGCTGGGAGGCGGTGGGAATGGTATCCATATTTGTTTATATTTTTTTTTATGGATTTTTACTATTTTTTATTATTTAAAAAATAATAATTTTTTTTATTTTTATTTTATTTTTATTTTTTTATGCTTTCTTACGCTTTTTTATAATGTTTTAAGATTTTATTATGAATTATAACATTTCATTATGAAATAATAAGTTAGGGGCATTTCTGGTAGGAGTCAATTGTTTAGTCATTTGGGATGGTTAAAAATGTAATGATCCCATTTGTGCATTTTAGGTTATTTTTAGTTCTATATAGAGCAATTACTTCATTTTTTATAAGCCGTTCGGGAGTCAGGTAGGACATGATCTTGAAACAGCCATCAGCCTCCACAGCAATGATGTCCTTACTGAGGTCTTCGGAGATGAATGGCTCAGGGGACTTTGGTGGAAAGGCGTTCCATTTCCTGGGAATCAGGCCGTTCGGGACAGAAACAAAGAAGAACCTGTCCTTCC